TCGGACGGTGTAGATGGAGACCAGCAAAACAAACAGGAGGGGGTGGAAGGAGAGGCCACGGACCGTAACGTGGGGAACGAAGATTTGGTGGAGGACGAGACGTTGACGCTCGTGGAACAGGAGGAACGAGAGCGGCTTCTTAATGAGGGGTTCGCCAGTTGGAGTTTTCAAGAGTACCGCCGACTTGTTGCGGCACTCACCAGTGGTGCGTATGATGTCACTGATTACCCAAGAATTGCGAATGCCGTTGGCTCTGATAAGACAGTGGGGGAGGTACGTGATTATATGACGGCTCTCCTTGAGCGTGGAATGCAGTGTATTACAGGATTCGCACATATTGAACAACGTATCAGGAAGTCCCAGGAAAAGCGGAAGAGGAGGGATGACGAACTGCGCGCCGCCACGTGGAAGGTTGAGAGTTATGACCATCCGGAGTCACAACTCACCTTCAGAGGACGCGGAACTCATGAATTTGATCGTCGACTTTTCCTCATGGCATACGACACGGGATTCCGAATGAGGAATATTGGAAGAGTCGTCAAGGAAATGCCAGAGTACCGGTTTGACGTGTGGTGCCAATCAAGAAGCGACGATTACTTTGAACGTCGGGTGGGGATTCTGATGAAGGCGGTGAAGAGAGAGTGTGAGAAACCAAACGGCAATACAATGGAACCGGCACTGCGGCGCCCGAAACTGGATTCGCTTACGACCGATTGAAATAAACAAAATAACAACAACAACAAGAACAACAAGTTGGATGAGAGAAGGGAAAAGAGGCACAGAAAGGGGGGAGGAAGAAATAAGGGTGTGTATAATGATACGCGCATTTTTATTTCTCAGGGGTGGTGAAGTGCAAATGAAGGGGGAGGGAACAGAATTGCAAATAGACAGAGAAGAGTGATGGGATGCTCACTCTTCAATATTATGACCATTGGCCCTGGCTGTTCGATGAGTGCAGTGCGGGCTTTTAATTTTATTTTTGCTGCCATTGGGTCTGTTCTTTCTTTTTCCCTTGCATTTATAACTTCTTTTATTATCATTATTATTATTATTTTTTTTAATTTTTTTTTTCTGTCTTATTTTTGCTCTGGTCAGCGTTTTTTTCTTGCTGCGCTAATTTATAGCCATTACAGGAAATGGGGCCTAATACTGCCCCACCGCTTGTAGGCGGTAACGTGGAGCTCGGTCAATTGTTGGGAACGGGCGGGTTCGGTAAGGTGTACTTTGCATACGACAGGAAGCGGCAAATGAATGTTGCTGTAAAGGTCATTGACAAGAGGCTGGTGATGCTCAACGATTTAAAGAGTTACGTGGAGCGGGAGATTGAGGTGATGCGGAAGATCAAACACCCACACGTAGTGAAGCTGTTTGACGCCATTGAGTCAACGAGTGCATATAATCTTGTCATGGAGTTGGCACAGAACGGGGAGCTGTTTGACAAGATTGTACATTCGGAGCGCTTTGATGAGAAAACAGCCCGTTTCTATTTTCAGCAGCTCATCTCCGCGGTCCATTATTGCCACGGCATCAATATTGCACACCGTGATCTCAAGGCGGAAAATCTTCTTGTAGGCAAAAATAATGAACTGAAGATTTGTGACTGGGGACTCTCTCGATACACAAAGGAAGGGCTTCTTTCGAATGAACAGGTGGTCCTCTTTCGCTCGCTTGCTGGAAGCATTGACTACCAGGCGCCCGAGGTGCTTAAAGGTGGAGGATATGAGGGGGGCGCATGTGATATGTGGAGTTGCGGGGCCATCCTGTTCTTTATGTTGTGCGGCTATCTTCCGTTTACAGATACCTCAGACATACAGACCAAGAGACGCATCCTCACCTGCCAATACAATGCGAAAAATCGATATCTTTCTCCTGGAGCCAGTGATCTTATTGCGCACCTATTGGAACTTGATCCGGCAGTTCGTTATAGCACCTTTGATGTCATTGGTCACCCTTGGTTTCAGGTGAACTTGGATCTAGGCCTCTTCCCTGAGGCGCAGCTCAGTGGGGAGCGCTCACCACTGAGCCCACTGACGGGTGAATTCATTAGGCGTGTTTTGACGCCAAGTGGGGGCTTCGACGACACGTACTCATCGGGAATAGAACTATTTGATGAAATTCACAGGGCGTTTGTCTCGTGTAATGTGAATGGCAGTGGATTTCTCAGCAGAGAGGAGGTGCGTGACGCGCTTATCAAGCTTAAAAATCATCAGCCGGTATCCGAAGAGGAGGTGAACAGCTTCATGTCCAACTTCTCACTGGACAAAGATGGCCGCATTTCCGAAGAGGAGTTTTTCATCGGCTGCACCACAAACCAGGACGTTGGAAAGAAGTATAATATTAGCCGCATGGCAGACCTGTTTCACTACGATCTAGAGAAGGAATACCTAGAGGAGGTTCGTCGCGCGTTTGACTCGTTTGACGTGAAGCACACCGGCCTGATTACACCGGAGAGCTTGAAGGAGCTGAATCTTCACTATAGTGAAGAAGAGATTAAGAAATTCTTTGATAACATTGATCCCAATAATCATGGCAATGGAACACTTTCCTTTGAACAGTTTGTCACGATGTGTTCTAGGTATGATACATTTAAGGAACACCCCATCACGCAACGACTCCGCCGCTTTGAGAAATTTTTTAACGTCACCGACATCAAGTCGCTTAATAATTGTTTGGCCACGGGGTTTACTGTTGCAGGGAGAAAAGAGAACATCATTTTACGCCTTCGTTCGAAGGAGGCAACGCTCTCAACAAAGTTTGAGAACAGTGTTGGTGGGCTCCTCTACGGTACCTATAGGAAATCCAACAAACGAATCCTGGAAGTCGGTATCCGCCTCATTCCCTCTGCTGCTGGCTACACCAAAGTGGCACCGTACCGTATCGCCGGAAAGACGAAGGAATTCCACAACTGGTTTTTGGAATTACGTAAGGCGCTTAGGGAAGAGATTCTCCGTTGCGAAGAAGACACTATAGTGAAGGGAGAACCGGAGCTAATCTGATAGGGGCGCGAGCTGCGTGGAGGGGAATGGAAGGGCGATGGCTGCGGTACATTGATAGGGAGCGAATAAATGAACGTGGGTATTGTGACAGGTCAGGTGGAGGGAGGGGGGAGCGTGACGTTTAAATATCATCTACATATGTACATGAGAGCTTCTTTGCTTGTGGCGTTGTTTCCATTCAGACATGTGAGCGTTTTTTGTTTGTTCTTTTGTAGCCTTTTGTAGTATTTTTTTTTGATGTATTTATTTACCTGAATAAATTGTGAGGGAGGAACCCCATTTTCTCAATTGTCCTTTTGTTATTTAAAGGGAGAGATCAGCCGAAACGCAAAAGGTGACGGAGGGAGAAATTGGGAGGAAAGAAGGAAATACACCGTCAAATGTGGGTTTTTATGAAGGCGGCGAGGGGCGGGCGTCTCTTGGAGGGAGAAGATGATGCTGCGTGGACGTGTGTGCGCTGGAGATTAAAGGAAGGGGAGAAGAGGGGGAAGGAGGAGGCGTGTGTTGCAGACGGCATGCACTTTTCTTTTGGTTTATACTGTGTGTAGTCTTTTTCTTTTTCTTTTTTTTTTCCTTTCTTCAAGCGTTTCTTGTCTTGGTGTTTTTTTTTCGCGTCCACATCTAAACGCACAAACACACACAAATACTCATTGTTTTCTCTTGACGTGCTTTGAGGCTTTCCGCCGTTCATTTGGCTGCTCACTGAACTTGTCGTCAGGTCGATTGGCGGCCGTGGCCTCACCGACACCAAATTTTCATCGCTGAAGGGACGATGAGTCAAATTGTAGCGTCGTCGGCACAAATTGACAGCGGCGGTGGCGGCGAAGAGCCGCAGCAACAAACTAGAGGAAACCAGCTGCTGGATGAGGAGAAGACGATTATCTCGAGCACGCGAAAGAAGTACACAATTCTTCCGGCGGCGTCGCACAGTCTGATGACGAAGAACAACCTGCGCGCGGTGGAGCGGTACATTGCACTCAACAGGGCACATCGCTTCTCTGAGCGGGACAGGTCTCCGGCACGGGTGATTCCGGAGCTCCCATTTCAACGTCGGTACGACGGTGACGAGGTGCTTCAGGCGGCGGTAAAGACGGCTCGTGCCCAAGAAAGTGCGCTTGACGTCCCGTTGCGTTTCATCACCCCTGAAGAGTTCCACGCACCACCCCTTGAGGACCCGCCGACGAACCTCCCGCTTGCGCGTCGGGTGGCAGCTCTGTTGAAGGGAATGGAGTCCGTGCCGGTGCATTGGATGGAGCAACGGCCAGGGGCCATGACAGCAGCCGGCGCTGACGACAGTGTGGTACAGTTGAAAGTTATGAGGGACGCCATTTCTCGGGCGCAGTGTGCTGTCCGTGGCGGTAACACGAGGGAGGGGGCCCATCTCTTTTGCACTGTGGCTTCCCTGCATTATAATAGTGGGAATATGGAGCTTGCACGATCTTTCTTTGCTAAAGCTCTTTCAGCATTTGAGCTGATAAGTGATCTACGTGGCATCGCCTTTTGCCACAATATTTTGGGTGTCTGCTACTTCCGTCTGCGGGAGTTTAAGGCATCATTGCTGCATCACAAACGTCAAGAGTCTCTTGGTGGATGTTACTCGCGGGCGGTGGCCCAAATCAATATGGGGGTCAGTTATGCCGCACTTGGAGAGCTGGAATTCGCGGAGTCAGCCCTTGAAGACGCATTAACAAATGCGCGTACATGTGAGAGCAGTCTGCTGGAAACGATTGCGCTTGGAAACCAGGGGCTCGTGCATCTGCGTATGGGCAATATGCGGGCGGCTCAGACAGACTTGGAGCAGTGTTTGGAAAAGTGCAGTCTTGGTGGAGATAAGACTGGAGCTGCCATCTGTCTGTTGCTGCTTGGCGAACTGTACTCTCTTATTCACGATCACCAACATGCATTGTTTTATTATGAGCATGCCTACCGCGTTGGGGGCGAGGCAAATTGCTCGGATGTGGTGGATGTGGCTCGCGTCAGCATTGGCATCGCTCGTGGCAATGCTGCATTGAGGGATGCTGTCATTTTGCAGGCCAAACGAATGGGACAACAAATTGACCTCAAAGATGTTGTGACGTTGCTTCCTCCGTAGATTTTGCTGGCTGCCGAACCTTCTCTAAGGCCTATGTACAGAAATATGAAGAGAAAAAAAAAGAAAAGGAGGGAAATTACGTGAGAGGAAAGACGTGAGGCCGAAGAAAATTAAAGCACACCGAAAAGTGAGGGAACAGGGAATATATATATATATATATATGCATATATTGTTTTTTTCTCTTTAAAAGGTGTGTAATAGGGCCTTTTTCCCCTTTTCCCTTTCTTTTTTGTAAATTTTTCCTTCCATTCGCTTCTGTGCTTGGCATTTTAGGGCGACATTTGATTCTGTTCTCTTTCATCTCCTCCTCTTTTTCTTTTCTTTCTTTTCACTTCCGTATTGCTTGAAAATTGAATGCAACATGAGAAATCACATCATTTTTTTGGGCTGCATGTTGCCAAACAAACTTGGACTGTTGGTGGAGCGCTGCGGGAAGCCTATTTTCAGCAACAAGGATGACGTGCGGCGCACCATGGCTGCTCTGCTGGAAATATCGGCCTTTGTGGATCGCAAGTGTCTAAAACTCATCGCCACACCCTTCAAGCGTTTCTGCCGCAAGGATCCTGACACCATCGCCAGCGTCATGGAGATGGTGCCTATCGACCCCGCAGAGCTGTCACATGGTCGAAGAGCCGCATTATTATTGCAGTGTCTCCCAAAACAGGGGTGCGACGATGTCATATGGGAGCAGGCGGTTCAGGTATTCTTGTCGGGAATGCAGGGGAAAAATTGGGATCTGCACGATTATCGCATTGCTCTCGCACACGCAAGTCGATGGGGCCGCCACCCAACTGCACTTGCAGTGGCCACAGAAGAACTTGTCAATGCTACTGTGCGAAGCGCCTCCCAGAGTGAACTTCCTGTGATATTTGCCATTCTCACCTCACTACCCGAGTTGAATCGCTCTCCATCTTTACAGGCGGCAGCAGATCGAGTTATGTCACTTACAGAAGTTTTGACGCCAGCAGCTATTGGGCAAATTTGCACCTGTCTCAATAAGTTCCAATTCAAGCATAATTCCCTGGCAATCGCACTACAGGAGGAAGCCATTCGTTTTGCAGAGGAGAGTGATTTATTCAGTGCCGTGCAACTCTTTAGTTTTATTTGCCAGCAACAGAATGATGCAATTAGCCCGGATGCCGTCAAGTGCTTGGCGGAGCGGGTGACTGAGGGGAAGGACCTGGATCAAGAGACGGTGACAACGCTCTGTCGAGCGCTGAAGGCACTTCCCCGACAGGCACGTCCCGAACTTCTGCGTGAGATCGCCGAGATGATTGCATTTTTGAGCGTAGAGGTCAAGGGGATTTTGTTGTTGTCAGTGGAAGAGGGGGGCCTAAAAGGAGAGACGTCTGTCGATAATATTCAGTCCTTTATCTCTCGCTTCCTCGCCCTTGACAGCCTGCTTCCACCGGATCATGAACGGCCCAGTGAGCTCACGGAAGCAATAAAGTTGTGCGTGGAGTACATTACAGAGAAACTTGAAGAAATTGTTGCAGATGAAAACCCACCCTTTTCAATTATTCCCAACCTTCTGAATGTCAACATGGAGGAGACCCGACAATGCGGTCTGGCCATCATTCGAGAAGCCGCGGAACAGGGGATTCATTTTCCAACGCTTCAGGCGTTTCGTTTTCTTCTAATTTTGGGCGATCACAACATGAAGGACAGGCGCGTCTATCGACACCTTCGCAATGAGTTTGCCAAAACAGCCTCCGGTATTCCTATGATTCAACTCTGTGCCGCACTGCGGTGTTTTGTGCGAGGCCTCATACGGGATCCGGAGCCCGATTCTCTGGAGGATAAAGTGGAACACGAATTGGAGAAGGAGGACATGGACATGTTTCTTCGGTTTTGCGTGGAAAACCTGCAGAGAGGATTTGCGGATGGTATGGAGATAAAGTGTGTTCTTGCAGCCACTGAGAGCTTGTACCAGCTCGGGTATACCGACCCCGCGTTTCTCGAAAAGGTCGCACGCTACCTGGACTCAAAGTGCGCATCCGCGTCTCCATCTGTAAACAGCAGTGAGACGGCGAATATAGTGTGCCTAGCGCTTGGTGAGGACATTCTTGACAAGTACCCCGCCGTTCACACATTCCTATTGGCGGTAGAAAAGGATGGTGTCAAGATGGAGGCCGCACTTCCTCCGACGGAGTGGATGAACAAAAATGATCCAGCCAACTTTATCGTTCCGTTAACGGAGGTACAACAAGAGGGATGGAACATCATTAACCGAATGGTCGAGACACGATCTGCAGACACAGAAACGCTGAGAAAATTGGCCAAGGAGTATATCTCCATCCTTAAAGACACACGTGTGGATGACCTCAAATATTTTTTTGGTGTTTTTGAGGAGAAAGTGTTAAAGGAGGATAAACTTTTGAAAGAGTGCTTGGATTACCTTCTGGATAGCAACATGGTGTCCAAGCTATCTGCGACAAGTATCGGGGCTATGCTCCATAGTCTTGCATCACTACGGTTTAATTTTCATCGAAGTGTCAAACGACTTGTCTTGGCCATTAGTGCTGAGCAATGGAATGAGATGGATGCTGCTCCTTTGGTACAAATTGTGTCGGGCATGGCAAAGCTCTCACTGCGTGTTCCACAGGTGTTGAATCATGTAGGGGATCGTCTTGTGCAGGTTCATACGTTTCTTTCCCCAATGGATACGGGGGTTCTTATTAATGCGCTTCAGTCCCTTGGGTATGGCAATGATGAGGTGATGATGATGTTAATGCGCCACGCGTCATCAAGCGCCTGCCGTTGGGATGAAGTGTCTCTCACATTACTCTTTGGTTCTTCAAGCATTCATCGTCTGCTTCGAGATGTGGAGGTGGCGACTCCACTATTGGAGCAGGCTGCTGGTAAAACATCCTCACCTCATCTAAGACAAAGGATTGCGGCTTCAATAAAAAGATCCGCGCTCCCTCGGGAACTCATACAGTCTTCAACTGCCGCATTGACGGGCGTGGAGGGTCAAGACGCACGGAAGCCGCTTCAATTAACTTAACATATATATATATTTATACATTTAGGAGGAGGGGGGAGGGATAGGGGTGGTGTAGTGTGGAGTGAACTCAAACGGCTTGTAATTTTTATGCCTTTACTTCGTGGGGTGGGGTCGCGGTGATTCTCTCCGTTTGTTGTCGTGGTGGTGGTGGTGTTTTTGGATTTTTCCGTTGTTTTATTCTTTTCAGTCCCTCCGAGACGGATCCGCCGTTTTATTTATTTTTTTTTTTTTTTTGCCATACCGGCCCTTTATTTGTCTCAAAAAAACAAAACAAAAAAAAAACAACAAAAAACATTTCTCTTTTATTCTCCGCTTTTCTCCTACTTTTCTTTTCCCACAATTTCGCTTTTCCCTTCGCGTCCTTTGGGGGTGCTGGCGGGTTTTTTATTTTTTATTTTTGTGCTCACAACAGGACCGATTGGCGTTCAAAAATGAACAAGCGGGGTCTATACGAAAAATACAAAAAGTTATACAATTGCCTAAATGGAGTGAAAACGGTTTCGAACTTTCAGGTCACCGGCACGCTGACTCCACTGGAGTTTGTGGAGGCGGGAGATGAGTTGGTGCAGAAGATGCCTGTGTGGGCATGGGCCGAAGGAGAGGAAGGCATTCAACCCTTCCTTCCACCCCGAAAAAAGTACTTAGTGTACCATGGGGCTCCGTGCTATCAGCGAGGTCCGGATGCCGACTCGCTCGGAGAGAATGAAATGGAGGGTGAGGATGGCTGGGTGACAACGCACGCTGAACGCCAGCCCAGCAAGAATGTTGTCATGGCTCCAGCGAAAACGATCAACTGGGACGAGGAGGATGACGAGGATCAAGACCATGCAGAGGACATAGGGGAGCGAAAGTGTCGTTTGTACGATGTGTACATGGTGTATGACCAATATTACCAAACCCCACGCATCTTCCTTATTGGCTACGCCGAAGATCACACAACACTTCTCACCAAGGATGAGATGATGCAGGATGTATACGCTTCAAACAGAGAAAAGACAGTTTCCATTGATCCTCACCCCTTTCTCAAGGCAGCATGTATCAGTATTCATCCTTGCCGTCATGCGGAGACAATGAAACGCTTGATTCAGCACATGAAAACTCGTTATGAGGCGGAAGGGGCTAACGAGGCGGAAAAAGATGCCTTTGTTTTCCCCACGCATATGGCATTTTTTCTTTTTCTTAAATTTATTTCATCCGTCGTGCCGACTATCGAGTACGACCTCTCTACTAGCATTGATATGTAGCCCAAATTGCGAGAGAGAAGGGAAAGAAAAACTCGTTCAACTCCCTATTTGTGTCTCTTTTTGCCGTTTTGGGGGTACGGCATGCTTCATTGGCGGCGGGGGAAACGGACACGTGGGAGGGCAAAACGAATTGAACGTCATTTTTTTTTTTTTTTAGTCCCCGCTTTGTGGCAGCATCCCCTTCCTTTTTTTCTTCTTTTTATTCCCCCATAGAATTCTCCAAGAACTTGTGGAAAAAAAAAAATGCGCGCAGATGCGACCGAGAAAGTGAAAAGGAGAGTTGTTTTTATATTTCGATCGCTTGGCCGAAGGCTCGGTATGCCTTCCACGGCGGCGCGCCGGAAATAGCGAAGGCGTTTTTATTTAAGAATGGCCGCTTCTTTCTCTACAAATCCTCTGGCTGGCCACGGTTCGTGGGCGAGCCATCTCTCACCACGCATGAACGCGGCGGGGGCGATTGGACGGGGGCAGGGCATGCTAACCACCAAAAATCTGAATTTTCGGCACGACTATGCCCAGGCCGCCGGGGACCACCAGCATCTTTGCGCTCTCTTCAATGCGCAACTGGCGGCTCAGGAGAAGAGCGACGCCGGCTTTCCAAACGCGCCTGAGGGCCCTTCCGCGAGAAGTGCAGGACTTTTGGGAAAAGGAGACGCGACCGTTGACGAGGGAGAGGCTTGGAGAAGCCAGCGCCGCCCGAGTTCACCTCCCAACCGCGGGGTGGCAACTCCCTGGTGCCCAAGCGTCGCCTTGTCCCGTGGGAAACTCCTAGCATCCTCGTTTTTGCGACGGCGGCGGGGAAGATGGTGGTGGCCGTGAGCTCCCGAATGCATGCGTTCCTCCACTTGCCCAGGGCTCCGCCAACGACGTGCCGAGCCGGGAATTGTCGGGGGATGGGGGGAAGCCCCGGGTTCCGCATTCACGACGCGGCTGAATGGGTCTCTCGTTCCCAGAGTGGGGCTTGCAGGCTCTGGAGGTGCTGCTGCGCAGGAGCCCGGCGACTGGGGATAGGAATCCACACATGTTCAGGAGGCGCTCGCGAGCCCCATGGGATGGGTCGGGATGGGCGGTGATCTTGATGCGCCGTCGTCGGTGGTGTTGAATTTCAGCGACGCCCTGCGCACGATGACTTTTGGGCGGCGCGCCCCAGCATTTTCATGATGGGGCCGCGTTCATTTTTGCACAGGACTATGTACGAGACGGGCGCGTTGGCAAATTCTACCCAGCCGCTGACCGGGAAGGAGCAGCGAGCACGATCTTCTCGTGGCCGGCTGTGCGGGTTATTTGGGCAATAAGCGTCTTGGGGCTTCTTGGCGGCAGTGGATGTGCTGCTGCGTAGCCTCGCGGGATGTTTGCCGCAAGGCGTGTGGGTTTTTGTGTGCGCCGTGTCTCGTTGCGGGGTTCCGCGCCGCAGCTTGTGGGGGGTCGGTTTGGCACCGTTTATTCTTTTACGTTCGCGCCGTCCCGATTTTGCGCGGAAGCCGCTTGGTCTTTTTTGATGGGGAAAAGGGAAGAGCAAAAAGGAAAGTAAAATTTTTTTGTTTGCGTCAGACTTCGTGCGCTTGAAGGCGCGGTCCCTGCATACTTCCTTTTTTCCCCTCCGGGTCCCGGAAGCCCGGCGTAAAAGCGCGCAACAACTGTGCGTCTCCGTTTTTTTCATAACGGACGTAATATGTAATATTTAAACAATGTAAAAAAAAAAAAAAAATCAGCCCAGATGGCGCACTGGTGGCCCAAGCCCTGCCACACCTCTTTACAAACCCTTTTTTTTTTTAAATTTGCGAAAACAACTCTGAAAGGGCTGTCAGTAAATAAATAAATAAATAATAAATAAATCCGGAAACGGTGGTTGCCGCCCTCGAAAAAAAAAAAGAAAATCTCCTATTCCCTCTCTCCTCCCATAAGAAAAACAACTACAACAACAAATGGCCAATGTTTAAGTGTAAACAAAAGAAAAACGGGAAGAACAAATACAGAGGATATTTTCTCCCTCTCTAACTTATTTGTTATACCTTCAGCTTCGGTGTGGCATTAAAGTGGTCGGCCATCACGCGGGCGACGCAGGTGGTCAAACCCTTAGTGAACGGCACGTGAAGGAACTCGTTTGGTCCGTGTGCGTTGCTCTTCGGACCGAGCGTCCCCGTGACGACAAACTGGGCTTTCGGAAAGCGCTTGAGAAGCATCGCGATAAAAGGAATGGATCCACCCAGGCCCTGTGAGGCGAATGGTTTGCCAAACACGGTCGTGCTTCCTTCATTCAGGGCTTTGACGAGCCACGGCTCGAGTTCGGGGGTCGAAAAACCGTAACCCACAGCATCTGGTTCAAAATGAACTTTGGCCCCATACGGCGGGTCCGCCTCAAGCATTTTCTTCAGTGAGTTTGCGGCATCCTCGGCATTCGCCAAAGGTGGGAGACGAAGTGAAATCCGTAACGTCGATTTTGCACGAATGACATTGCCAGCTGTGGCGGGATCTGGGAGGTCAGCCCCTGTCACGGTGAGAGCGGGTTTCCAAGAGTTTCGCAGAGCGAGTTCGGCATTGTCAGCGGATGCTGGAGAGACGCCGGGCAGAAGAGCGAAATGCTCCATGAAATTCACTTCATTCATGATTTCCATGCTCTTCACGACAGCCTCCGGAATGGCACAATGCGCCTCGGGAACCTTCACCTCACCTGTTGTTTGGTCCTCAACTCGATTAAGCAAAATACGGGCAATCCGGAATGGATCGGGAACCACTCCACCGGAGATACCGCTGTGCATACTTTCACTCATGCTCTGAACAGTGAGGGTGCCACATGCAACACCTCGCAGCGCCGTGGTTAACCACAGCTTGTCATATGTCATGGCCCCACTGTCCAGGCAGATAAGAAGATCCACATTTCCGATACGGTCACTGAGCCGGTCGATATAATAGGGAAGGTCCTCGCTTCCAGATTCTTCACCCGCCTCAATAATGACGACGACGTGTCCATGGGGCAAACCGTGTTTTTGTACCGCCGCCAGAGCGGTCAACGATGAGAATACAGCATATCCATCATCTGCGGCACCTCGGCCGTACAATTTCCCATCGCGGTACACAGCCTTTTGGGGGTGAAGACCCTCATCCCAGGGAGGAAGAGGCGGCTGCTTGTCCATATGGCCGTAGAGCAACAGCGTATTGGCTGTGGGTTCTGTCCCGTCAACTTCCACAATAAGGAAAGGCGTGCGACCCTTCTCTTCCAGGACCTCATATTTTAAGCCCTTGATGGGTTGGTTCTTCACCCATTCCACAATGACGTCCATGGCCTTGCCCATGAGGCCGTTGGTGGCCCACTCCGCATCAAAGTGAGGGCTTTGGTTGGGAACTTCAATGTATGCGGAGAGAGCTGGCAACACCGTTTCGTCCCATTCCGCAGAGATGGTTTGGCTCACTGCAGTCCAGTCAACCGACATTGCGCCCAAATTTCAAGCTTTCCTTTTTTGCGTTATTATTATTATTACTTTTTTTTTTTTTTTTTTTTCGTTTGGTTTTTAGCTATCCCTACGAGATTTCTTGTAATGGGGGTAAGAGTAAATTGAGACAATGCAGAGATACAAATATACCTTTCACATAAGCATAAATAAATAAATAAATAAATAAATATATATATATATATGCAGACACATACTAACTCCGTAACTCGTTTTAGCCAACCAAACAAAATGCACACGTAGAGAGAAACTCCTCGCCCCAATTTATGTCCGTTGCGGGCAAAGTAACAGTAACATAATAGAGGAGTCCCAAGGTGTTCCTCAAGTTACAATGTTCTGTGCATTACATATTAAAAGTGTGTGTATGTAATTATATACGCAAATATATATATATTTTTTAATCCCCTTTAAACCTGGTTCCTCCCCATTTTCCCCAAGATATCGCCATCAACAACTTCCCCATCAGATGGGGTCACTCCTACCACAAAGTCATTTTTTTTCTTCGCATCCACACGGCCTTTTCTCTTTACGGAGCGGTGATTCTCAATAGGTGTGTGTGACAAAGTCGTGTGTTCCTCGATTGTCATGAATTCCCTAAAAGACGCCATGCTGTACGTGTGGGCGGGTAAAGTAAAGTGAAGGGCCAGGGATTTAGTTCCTCTCTGCCGTGCCGTATCAGATGCGGCCAACGCCACGGCACCGGCAGGCAATCGTTCTGCCAGTCGGAAGCCATACTTTCCAATCGGCCAGAGAGTGCGGGGTTGCCCTCGCGACGTCGCCGTGTAGCTGGCACGCTGTCGGAGTTCCATATCCGTCAGCAGCTTGTAGACGCCGTCCCCATTTTCCCCAATCAATTCGCTTAGTTCCGGCAGGGCTTTGACCCACGGAAGAGTCGTGCGGGGATGCCCACTGCCAGCAGAAAAGAGCGGCCGAAAGTACACCGGGTGACACGAGAGGCGATTATGTCCGCGTGAGGAGGGGGCAAATCCCAAAAGACGTGAAACGCGACTTATGACCTCATTACCCTCCACGTTGAGAGGAATGACCACATCACGGAGCGTATACGGCGCCGCCTCCTCTCTTGTAAGAACAAAATGGGCACCATGAAGGCCATCGCCACCACGAGTTAGGCCCAGCAAAGACGCGTCAGGAAAAAGCTCGGGTTTAGCCACGACGTTGGCAGGTACGATCCCATCGCTATTATGCAACACAAATTCCCCAGCTTCAGGGGAGCCCTCCACCGCGCCTCCGCCCAGTTTGTGAATGCGACAACTAGCGAGTACGTTCCACAACAGGGCGGATTTGCTTCTTTCGATTTGCGCTCTTAATCCACATGAAACATGGAGATGGTACCACTCTTTCAAAACAGCAGGGCGATCCTCCCCACTCTGAAAAAGTCGCACCATCTCACTTACCCAATCGTCTCCTGCCATTGTTCTTGCGTCATCGCTGAGGCACGCGGCAATAAGAAGCGCTTCCGCCGGCATGTCTTTCTCCCACGCGGCCGCTGCGTGGTATGAGCGAAACAGAGACGACGGCGACCGCATTCCAAAGTGACAGGGACCAAAAAAATTGGGGAACACCGCAAGCCATCCCAGAACTCTCTTCTCCAATTGCGTCTGCCGAGTGGTGGTGGGGGTGGTGATGCCCCTTAGAAGCATGCTGTACTGCATCTGGCAACGACTACTGTTGACGGGGTCGCACGGAAAGGATCTCCAACCGAGTAACTGTATATTAATTTGCAGAGGTCGTAGGTTTACTCGAAGTAACTTTTTAACGACGGTTGCTTGATGCGTCTCGTATGAGGTTGAGTCCGGCAGTAACAAACAAAGACTACACACTTGAACAGTCACAGCCGACTCTTCCAGTGCGACATTCGCTGAAAAGTGTTCTGGAAGGCACATCCCCTCACAGGCCTCGCTCAGCAGTCGAAAGGCCTTAGAAAGAGACAAACCTTCCTTGTAAAGCACAAAGTGTAGGTACCGCTGCTCGGGCCCGGCCGACTTGTAATGACAGGTATCAATCGCATCTGGCAAAGTGGGAGAAATAAAAGTCACAATCTTTCCACTGGGAAGTACTTCCGCCACCTGCATATCACTAGTGTACATCCGAAAGCCGCGGAGCCTCGGAACCCGCTCGCCGTTTCTGCCGTGATTTAATCTAGCCGCAATACCCGCCTGCAGTTCCAACTCCTGCATGGTGGGTCTAGACTGCAACTCCCTTAGGCCTGAAAGAATACTGCAGAAGTTACCGCCATCACGAATGGCACGCACAAACTCCCGCGCACGTTTTATTGCTCCGTCAATATCGACGGCAACAGCTACCCGCTGCAGGATCGTGGGATCCAGGGTTGGATTGTACAGCGGCAACGCCTCTTCTACACGGCTGTCTGAGACCTTATTATTTTTACCCAGACTTGGGTCCGTTCGCTTCATGTCATGTGTGATTGCCGCCGGAGACGCCAATGCCCGAGTCATCTGCAGGAGTGAACGGAGCGTGCACGATACATCGCTGGCGTCCTTTGAGAATCCCTGTGACGCGGAAGATGATGATGATGTCAGTTCCGTGTGAAGATCGCTAAGAATGGATGACACAAATAATGAGGTGCGAGGCGTTGACGCCGTCGTCGTTGCGGAGAGCCGTGAAGTGGCACGCGGCGCTCGTATCCGACGGCTCACGGCCGCCATGGCGGCTTGCACAGTTGGCGATCGAGGTGACATGTCCCTTTTTCTCAGCCCTGCGCCTTTAGACAGTTGGAGTGCAAAGAGAGAAGGAGCAGCACGGAGAACCGCCGTGGCAACACACCCACCAATCACAGGCGGCAAAACTGAATACTTCCACCACAATTAACACGCAGTGCAATCGCAGAAATTATTTAAATTAGGGAGAAAAATTACAAAAGAAAAGAAAGAAAAATATGTGTTGGATACGCGAATTTTTTTCCCAGGCAAAAAAAGCATTTTTTTTTTCACCTTCGGTATTCTATACAAAAAAAAAAAAAAAACACTTCTCTTTGAAATAAATCCTCTTTTTTTTTTTGCATGACGGTGGGTTTGCCTGGCTCCTGCTCAATTTTTCTATTGATTCCTAAACGTTGTTACATATAGATATACATACATGTATGCATTTGTTTTGCTTAACTGTCCTCCAATTCATTTTTTTCCTTTTTTTTTCTTTTTTTTTTTTGCCCTTGTGATTTATTTAAAATTTCTCTTCTTTTACTTTTTTTTTTTTTTTTTTGGGGGTTATTGATGTTAGTCTTCATTGCTACTCAAGCCCGTTTTCCGCGGTGTGTCTTCGATGCCTCGACCAGTCTCTTCTGGTCGCCACACAGGTTGGCAATGCGCACAATAAGCTCCGCAAGGAACTGAAAATCAATAATCTTGTTCAACAATCGGAAAACTGCACTTGTCATGCCTTGATCCCACACCGTCAGGCGTCCCGCAGAGGCAAAAAATTGGTCAGCAATATACGATGGCGGGGCTACGAGCTTCCGCGTTGCCTCGATGGTGCTAAGCTTCGGTCCCTTGTAATTGAAGAAGTTTGTGTTCACGGGAGAGGGGTGCATGACAACCACGTGGATGCCCGCATGGCGCACTTCCGCGGCAATTGTTACGGCAAAATTTGTCAAAAACGCCTTTGAGGGGCTGTACAATGTCGCTGTTGGCCCTGGAAGGTAACCGGCGCTGGATGAGGTGAATGTCACAAGGCCCCGCCGCTGCCGCTCCATCATCTTTCGCAGAAAGTGGTGGGTGATAGGGATGGCGCAGCCGGCATTGCACTCAAGGTTTGCACGCAGCCGGTCAACCTCCGTATCGGTGAAAAGCCCGGCGTGGAGGTACCCGGCGTTGTTGAAAAGAAGACCAACGTCGAGGTCTTGTGTCGCCTCAATGATGGGCGCCATGTAACGCATTCCCTCCCCACCCAAGTCCACCGCCACCTTGCGAAAGCTGCGCTTCGGGTACTTCTTCTGAAGCTCAGCGAAGGTGCTATGGAGCCCCGGATCCTCCAGTGCGACGAGCACGACGTTGATCTCTTGCTGCGCAAGCTTCTCTGTGATGGCCTTACCGATGCCACTGCTCGCCCCCGTGACAACAGCCCACTCCGCGTCGTACTTTTTCTTAAGATCCTGCGGGATGCGCATTGCCAGCTGCTGCGCGGCGGCAGTCACAAGGTAAGTGACCATGCTGAAAAGACCCACCAGCAGCGAGACGGTCGACAGCACCCACCAGAGGGCACCAAAAATGATGTTCATCATTTTTTTTCCTTTGTTCTTTGATATTCTTCCTCTCTCTCTCTCTCTCTCTCCTTCCGCAACGTGTAAAAATATTTTCCCCTTGCCTCGCCCTACTCGTGGTATGTCTTTGTTCTTTTTTGTTTCTCTCTTTTCTTTTCAAAGGATAGACCTGCTACCCTACCTTTCCGCGCGGGTGGCCGCGAAGACATCAGGAAAAGAAGGAAAGAGGGAGAGGAGACAGGCGGGAAAAAAAAAACGCAAAACGTTTTGAATTCAAAAATAAAAGAAAAATCACCACCCACCCACGCGTTGCGCTCACACTTTCACGCAGCGGCTTCAGCAGGGGAGGGGCACAAAAATCAGGCACGAGCAAAGCAACAACGACAGCAACAACAAAGCAAACACGCACGCACACACACTCATTCAATAAGAAGCAAGAAGCAACAGTGTCAATCACCAGACACGCAAGGGTTTTCCTTCCCTCCACCAATAACCCACCTCCTTCTCCTGCTTTTTTTTTTTCTTTTTTTTTTTTTTTTACAACTCGTCCCTTGGAAAGTAGAAACTGCGCAGAATTTTCATACTGTCTTTTGCCGATAACTCCACTTGGACGGAAAGCAGCCGGGCTTTCCTCGTTATCCCTTGAGGCGACATACATCGCTGAACAACAAGGGCCACGCAGGAATCTTTTTTTGCAGCGTGGCGAAGGACCATACTATATATGGACTTTCCACAGTCTTCCTCTCTGCAAAGGGTTTCATACAGCTCATCTTCTGGAATCACTAGACGCGTCTTGGGACACACACTGTTTCTGTAATCCGTCCATGCTCGCATAAAACTATGGCCACTGACCCATGGATCCGTATTGGCTACCCCAACAGCCCGAGCATCCAAAGTGTCGGCGGTGCGAATGTGAAAAAGGTGAAAAGTACCTGCGCCAGAAATACAGGCAGCTATGGTCTCCGTGGAGGACACAAGCAACCCCAATGCATGAACGGCGTTGGGTGTCGTTCCCCTGGAGAACTGACAAATGACAACATGATTTTCAACATCGAGTAATTTCACGGATGTCCCCCGCTGACTCACTGTGAGTGCCCGCACTCCATCGGGGGTGATCGTGATGCATCCCACTTCATTGCGGTGAACTTCCACAACGTTGACCGTAAGTTGGGGTGTGAGCTTCTTTCCGAGGTCCGAAAATGGCTCTTGCAGCAAACTAGACTGTACATGCCTTTCGCTCGCATAACAAATGCAGCGCACAGTGCCGGTCGTCGGGCCAAGAATGACCCCATACAATTGGGAGTAGCAAATGCCACACGCCAATTTCTCTACAAGCATGGTACCCAGTGCCAACGTATCACCCTTCTGACGCGAGGTCGATGCCGGGGTCGACGCCTGGAACGACTCAATCATTTGCAGCGCGTGGTCAAAAAGATATATGAGACCTGTTTGGATACCCACCAACAGCATGCGGGGATGAAAACACACCTCATACACTACGGAAGAGAGCTTTACACGAGCCAACACCGAAAGGTCTTCATTCACCGTGTCATCTGCAGAGAGGTCCAGTATTGTGACGGTGTCGCGGTGGCCGGAGTCCCACCCCACCAAAACCACCAGATTACCCTGCCCGTGTAGGGCCACGATGCTCACGCCACCAAGAACAGGGCGCCGAATAACCTCACTTAGCCAGCCCTCCTCACTCAAAAGTAATTCTGTGCTGTAAATGATAAACCCATGCGTCAAGCCCACCGCAAGATTAGTGCCTTCGTTGTTCCACGAGAGGCACGTCACCCGCTGCTCCAGTTGTTCCACAGTCATATACGCTATTTGCCCCCTCCCTTCTTCCACAACTTTTCCACCTCTACTTCAAGTTCACACCGATAAGAGAGAAGGGGAGAAAGGCGCACGCAAAAAGAGAACATGAATGGACAAAATCATTTTTCTTTTTACAATCCCCACTGCATCTCACTTTGCTTACGCCACAATAACAGCAATTACTTCTTTTTTTTTTTTTTTTTTTTTCGTCTTCACTTCTCCCCATTCCTTTGTTCATGGAATAAGGATATTTCTCAGGTTTTCTTCACGCGTCGACATGCGCCGTGCAAGCCTCCCACATCTGCTCACGGCTTGTTGATGCAGTGATACACCATTTGGGTCACCACAAGAGCGATGCTGCTCTCCCTCCTCCCCAAACCTCAATTGACTCTTAGCACAACAATTCTTTAATCCCAGCAGATGCAGCTTTGCGGTTTGCATTTGCGGGGTTAACACCGTCACCGGCGTCCGCTTTGTGGCAAAATTGAGGTAATGCGCAAGATAGGCAACCCGCACCAATTCCTGCTCGCAGACATGCGTCAGGGAAAAAAGGCTCCTCAGGGCTTCTGGCAGACCCGCACGTACTTGAGAGACACGCATAACGGCATCAAATTCATTGACAGGACTCCAAACTACAAATTGAACACGCGACTTACGTTTACTATCCGACTGCAACTCCATTAGGTGGTGTAGGGATTGCAAAGCTGTTAAACGAGCACTGCGTTCCTGAAGGGAAAAAGAATTCTGCGGTATTTTTTTCCCTTCCCCACCCGCCGAAAAGGTCGGATGACACAAATATGCCTCCCACCTTAGCTGGAACAGTGCTGTGAACGGTATCACTATCATCCCCGTGGGAGCTGGTGCTTCCCCTGCCGTCGCGAGGAAGGCGTCCCCTTTTCTCACTGCCGCCGTCCATGAGGCGATGGCTCGACCAGCCAACAACGGCTCAACAAGAAAGGATGTCATCAAAAGTTCCCGTCGATGAATCGTGCTTGAAGGAAGAAGCCACCCCGCCTCCGTGCTCTCCTGGCACCATGCTGTGGTCGTCGTGCTGCTGCTCCCGTTGGGAAGCATAACATCTGTCCACTTTTGGGAGAAGACACTACTCAAAAGAGCCACATCCAGAGCACGCCGCGCCAAACGCAACTCCTCCTTGTCACCTGACGTTACTGCAATCTTTTGCGCACCCTTCAATGCTTGAACGTAGAGCCCAAACCACTCACCATACGGCACAAATGTAATGTTTCGATGCGGCACAGACGCCACGCGTTCGAATAGGCGTGCAAAGATATTCCCCTGCATGAGGGGTCCTTTTTTCCTTTTTTCCTTTCCCCTCACCCCGCCTCAAATGCAGGTGCCCAAACAAAACACACAAAAAAAGATCAGGAGGGAGAATAAAATAAAGCCCCACTCACCCATTCAGCATAAAAAAAATAAACAAAAAATCACACATGCAAAACAGACAGAAACGTGGAAATGAAGAGTCACATACATAAATTTGTGTGTGTATTGGTCGGCTCCTCCTTCATATATTCCTTCTGAGTGTATAAGTGCATATATTTTGTCTGGCATCAACACAAACGCGCGGGTTCGGGGTGCTCTTCTCGCTTCAGGACTCAGAGTTTTACACGACGCGTTGTTCCAATTAAAATTTCCCTTTCCCTTTTCCTTTTTTTTTTTTTTTTAAATTCTCACCCCCTCTTTACGCAGGCATCAATGCATGAAAGGAAAAAAAAAAAAATTAATACTTCGCTGCATCCATGTACGTATGTAACAATACTATTTATTTTGGAGTGAGAGACTTCTTTACTGCGTTCCGCATCGTCTCCGTCGCCTGCTTTCTCACAGCCGCCTTGAAGATGGACGTTCCGGCCACAATGATGTTCGCTCCTGCTTCTGCGGCCGCATCAATTGTCTTTTCACCCAGACCCCCGTCCACTTGAATGTTTAAATGGGGATACGCCCGACGCAGTTCCGCGACCTTCGGCATCATGTCATGCATAAACGACTGACCGCCAAATCCCGGCTCCACAGTCATAACAAGCACCATGTCTACCAACTTCTCCTCGATGAGCTCGGTCACGGCACTCGCCGGCGTCTTCGGTTTGAGCGCCACTCCGCACTGCATCCCAGCCGCGCGTATGTGACGTGCAACTGCCTTTGGGCATTCCGCTGCTTCAACGTGAAATGTCATCTGCGAGGCCCCGGCCTTTGCCATCTCGTCCACCCACCTGTCAGGGTGACTGACCATGCAATGCACATCCAGAAAGGTGTGTTGCAAATGCTTCCGCAGGGCCTCCACCACACACATGCCGATGGAGATGTTCGGAACAAAGTGCCCGTCCATCACGTCCACGTGCAGCCACTCCGAGGCACCTCCTTCAACCGAGAGGACATCCTTGCACTCATCAAGTAGTCGTGCAAAATCTGATGCGAGAATCGATGGAGCAATAATCGGCCGCAACGTATCGGGACGGTCAGCGCTCAGCCACGTGCCACGGTCCTGGTGATCAAACATGCTGAATACTTCGAGAAAAAAAGAAATAAATAAAAGAAGATTGGACTCTCGGCCGAAAAGCCAAACCCCTGCGGGGAAATTCCACAGCACAAGACTTGTTTTCAAAAGAGGAGGAAAAGTTAAAACAACAACAAAAAGAGATACGGAAGAATAGAGGCATAATACAAACAAAGTCTCTCCCTTCTTCCTCTCCACACCAGAGCCGCATCCATTCCTCTCAGCTCGCAAGTAAAACCCATGCTTCATCCACCATGTGCCGCGCCTTGCAGACTTCCCATTCGCGCTGGACACGCTCCGGAAGTTGCTCGAGCGCAGTTTCCAGCGGGAGGATGGCGGTGCAGCAACCTGCACCTTCCATCTGTGAAAAATATCTCGTCAGACACTGCGACAGCTGCACGGCTCGTGGAGGATTTGCCAAATCGGCGCGGAGGGCAAGAATAAGCTCCTGCAACCAGCCATGCATCTGCGCAAGAACGGCCAAAAGTGCATGCATCCCGAGCATCACCTGCGGACTCTGGGTGGATTTTTCTTTGCATTCTTTCCCTCCCACCTGGAATAGAGCAGATGCGGCCGCCTTTGTCATAGAGGCGCCCTGCTGCTGCTGCCGCTGCTGGGACGCCTCCTTCGCTTGCTGCAGCTTGCTGCACCACATCTGCTGGGATTTGCCAAGGGAACGAAGAAGCGCACTCACGTCCTCTGTGTGCTGAGCAATGATGAGCTCAACGGCAGACTCCGGGAAGGCAAGAAGCATGCCGAGTGGGTCGGTACAGCAGCGCAACGCGTTATCATTGGCAGCAGCGGAATCTGCAGAACAGCCAGTACGCCGTATGGCTTCCTCCACAACTATCCGCTGCGATGTCAGGTTGCTGATGGCACTTAGATTGGCCACAATGGAGTCCAGAAGATTCTGACACTCGCGAAAGCGCTGCACCACCACTAATTCAGCCATGAACCTTCCCTTCCTTCCCCACGCCCGCCACACATATCCACCCAACCATCCCGTTCAAAAAAAAAAAAAAAAAAAGGAAAGAAGAAGACACACACAAGAAAAAAGCATATCACCCCTCCATTTCGTGTACTTCCTCCTCCCTTTATGCAATACTCTCACAAACCACGGGTGATCCAAAACCGAGCAACACGAATCAAGAAGGGGAATTTGTTACCAATCATGGAGAACAAATATCACAGTAAATCTACGGTTTTACTTTAGAAGGACAGTGGGCATAAAAATTTTCCAGCGCCTGAATCGGTACTGGGGGATAAATAAGAGAAAGAAATTTGAAAATTCATTTGGCCTTTCATGAAGAACACCAATGAGCACACACACACACACACACACAATACACAATACACAATACACTACACCCCCATAACTTTCCGTTTTTCTTTTTTTTTTTTTAATACTACTTTCCCTCCCCCCTTTTCCTCCACACACAGATATATAGATATAGATATATATCTGCCACTCCTCTTCTTTAGCCAAGTGATGCTTCGCATCTACTCCTCCCACTGCAAAACACACACGCACATTACACCATGTTCTCTCTCTCTTTTTTTTTTTAATCCCCCCCCCCCCCCCAAAAAAAAAAGAAAAAAAAAGGAATAGAAGGAATGAGGGTGCTTCCAAACGACCATTCTATCTTGTTTTTTTTTTTTCTTTTCTTTTCTTTTCTTTTGTTTACACCCTTTCCCACATATCCCACCTATAATTATTATATACATATATATATGTATGTATGTATATAACTATGTCCCATCAGTTCACTTTTTTTTTTCTTTTCAAAATATATATATTAATTCTTCATTTTGTTTCATTCAGGCTCTGCTGCGGTGGCAACGGGATTTAAACAAATGAGAAGGGTTGCTCCTCTACCTGTGGTTTGCGCAAGACTGCATGTACCACAACAACACCTACAGAAGACAGAACCAACCAAAACACCACTGAACTACCGTTTGTGATAAAAAAGGAAATACCAGCAAAGATTGCAATAAACAGATATGCCTGTGAGAATGTTATCTTGCGGTTTAAAACAATGAAGTGGTTGCTGTTCGTCTCCACTGCCTCCACCCGCTTTGTACCCACAAACCACCACATGGCCAAGGTAAGAGCGACGCACAGAGAGAACGCTGGGTTCAGAAGCAGCACATACGACGAGCACAACATTGCCATGATCATGTAGTTATGATAGTAGTGATTGATATTGCGGTTGAGGCGGCTGAGAGACTCGCTGAGGCCTGACGGAGGCAAAAAACACTGCCGATCAAAAAACTCCTTCCACGGACGCACCATCGCCAATTGCCGTCGTCCTCCATTCACTGCGTATGTGTAGTAATGCTGCAACTTGCCAATGAGTGAGGAGGGAACTGCGGTGCCCACAGGCACATTGACGCCCACCTCAACGGCGTCTGCGGTGCCATCCACAAACGCCATGTTGCTCCTCTGCGGGGGGACATTAGGCATCTTAACACCACCCAATTCCTAATCTTTTTACCTCCAACAGATCCAACGCAATATGACGCGTATCTGTATGGGCGCAAAAACAACAGCAACAAAAAGAAGAAAAAAAAAAAAGAAAAAAAGGGAATGAAAGAAGTACACCGCGTGGGAGGCACACAAGCAACGCGACGCCAGTCACAAAGGCGACTTTCACACACACACACACACACACACACACAGCAAGAAAGATACAGAGGGACTGCAATAAAGAAACAAAAACAAAAAAAAAAAAAAGAAAAGAATCAAACCTCTTTTCGCATATGACGAGCCTACACAACTCGCCTTCTATCCGCAGTCTTTCCCTCCCACGCTCTCTTTCTTTTTCTCCCTTTTGCTGTGCGGCCACTGTGGCCAACTCTCTCTCTCTCTCTATATATATATATATATGTTTATATTTATATACGTTTCTCTCTCAGTCAGGGACACACAAACAAACACACACAAAAGCAGACACATGCATCCATTTCCCACTCTATCCAATAAACTGTATGCCCTTCATTGAGCCCACCGGTTGTTGTTATTTTTTTATTGACCTTTCATGGCCACCTGGCGGTGTACACGGCCCTGATTTTACCCCTTTTTCTTTTTTTTAAAATTTTCAAATATTTTTTTTCCTTTTTTTTTTTAAAATTCCCATCTTTCTTCGTTTTCTTTCTTCTTTTTTTTTTCTTTTCCCTTCTCTATTCAACGCTATCGTCCCTTGAAGAACTGGATGCGCATCCTGAGGGCGCGCCGCATGATGTCAAGAAACTCGGCCGCCCTCAAACTGGGAACACCGTTAACACTTTGAATGCGCCACTCCGTCTTCACCGGCGGCTTCATGAAAGTCTTGTAGAACGGATGCTTGCGCCTGGCGTCGCGCTTCGATGGCAAATCAGGCAACGCCCTTACACGCATTGTCCGTTCCGCTCCCTCACCGCTACTCTCAAGCGACAATCCCCACTTCTCTTCACTGGAGTCGCGGCGTATCACCATTTCCTCTGGAGTCAATAGCTCTATCGTGATATTGTTGGGTAACACGAGAGGCTCAGGAGTTTCGCCTGCTGCCGGCAGCCTCTCCTCCGTCTCCTTTGAGCCCTCCTGCAGCTTTCCCTCCATACCTGATGTGTCGTCCGGTGTGGCTTCATCGTCGGCGACCATTGGGTACGTCTCCTTCACATCATCTTCTTCCGCATGCTTATCTGGCTCTGCCGTCAATTCCTCTGCCTCATTCGCATCTGCAGTGTAAACATCATCGGCCTTCGCATCCAGGTCCTCGGCGTTTTCGTGCTGTTTTCTTTGTTGCTGGCCCTTTGTCTTCTTTTTCCTTTCTCCAGATTGCTTGGCACTCTTCTTACCCACAAGTGGTTTTTCCCTCGCCTTTTCAATCTGATCCTGAGTGAGCGCCAAGGACACCTTCTCCGATAGGGACCCTTTGCTCCGTTCCGCCATGGAAGGGGCCACAACTACAAAATTCATTACAATCGTCTCTGTGTGGGCACACAATGCCTCGGCCTGCGCGACTGTTGTAACCTCAACCCCATTGACCGCCATCAGAGCGACACGTCCGCGGTAGTCTGCGAGGAAATTCCTTGCCCTCACCGATGTGCATCGCTTGGGTAAACCGCTTACAATTAATTCTTCCTTTAGCTCACATCCCCACGGCATGCTTCGATCAGGGCGGTGCAAGACAAGCGTTGCCCGTTGCCCGGATGAGCCCTCACCTCCTTGGTTGGGCAAAAGAAAGGCCAACTGCTGCACAGAAGGCTGTTTAAGTGCACCGTTGGCCAATTGAATAGCGATACGCTTATTCGACTTGGTGGCATTCTTAAAAATCTCCAAAACTTCTTCCGCACCAACAGACGAGATATCTGGAATTGTCGTTGAGTTCACGGCGACTATTTTAGCCCCTTCTGTAGTGCAGCAAAGGAGTCGATGCAACTCTTCCCCTTCCTCAGAAACGCTACGAAGCGAGGTGTCAATGTCCACTATTTGTCCGCATTGATTAAAGATAAGCCCCCATGGGGATGCGATGTCCGTGCGGCGCAGAACCAACGTTGATGCCTCACGGTCAACGGACTGAACCCACGTCTCTGTGATGGGGGGTTGCGTGGTACTCACCTCCACCAGCACTACCCAGTCGGCAAGTTGGTAGTATTGACGGGAAAGAATGGGCATCATCTGTTCAGCCGCATCCGGAGTGGTATCCATGAGCTGAACGCATGGAAACGTGACAAGGATATTATCGTAAAACGATTCAAAGTCATTCAGAAGCGTAAGGGTAGTGCGCAACGCGCCCACTTGCTGGGCGGTCCGCTGGTCGTTGTGGCTGCT